TGGGGGGGGGTCTTGGCAGTTGATGGCAGAGCTGCTGAGCTGATGGCACTCAGGAAGGCGCGGCGTTTGGAGCAGTGGAGTGGAGCCCCTTTGGATTCTCTCTCCTGGTGAAGCTTTGTCTTGGGTGCTGTTCTCTGTTCAGCTGGACCTTCACCGGAGGGCTTCTTGTGGGCTTCTCTTCTCCCGGGCTGATGGTCTTTTCTGCGCTTGATGATCTGTTTGCCCCGGCTGATGTTCTCCTTCGGGCTGATGGTTATTCTCTGCGCACCTTTGTTCTGAGGTGCCAGGTTTTTATGGTCTAAAGTTCATGAATAGGGACTACATGTACAATATAATAATCTATACCACAAGTGTGTCTGCTGAGGTGTGGCATGAGTAAATGGCGTCCTGTAGTTGTGTTCTGGGCATACAGCAACTCTGGATATAACGGACTGTTTTGCCAGGTCCCGTGAAGCCCGTTATAACGGGACTTTACTGCATCTGTGCTTATTGCTCACTGTCCACCAACAGGAGGCACCTTGCTTAGCATCGAGGACCCGGTGGAGGCCAAATTCATAAAAGATAACTTGGACATACTGCAGGACGGATCAAAAGCCTTCTGGATTGGCCTTTACAAAACCCACAGAGGTAACAGACACTTTCCTGGGCGGGGGGGGGGGGGGAGGGGGGGGGGTATGCTCACACAAAACCGCCTTGTTACTTGTAACCGTGGTCCTAAGACCTTTTTTGAGTAGAACTTTAAACAGTGAAGTTGCAAGGTTTGGTATTTAACAGGCTAAGTGCTTTTCAAGAACAACCATTTAAATTGCTAACCTTTCCGATTAAAGGCCTTCCACAAGGGTATGGGTTTTTTTTCTCCTTCTTTTGCCCAAAAGCAATTTTTAAAAGGATGACAGTGAGGTCATGGACACCCAGGAGGGGAGGTTCCCCCATTCTGTGGGTTGCTGGGGTTTCCTACTCAAACCTGAAAGGCTATAGGCTGACAATCAGCTCAGACTGGGGAATATGCAAGCCTTGTAAGTGAATGGGAACAGAGAGACACCGCAGAGAGACACCCAGCCTTTACCATGTATCAGTTTATAGATATATACAGGCAGTCGCCGGGTTAAGAACGTCCCACTTATGAGAAGACTGCCAGGAAGTCTATTATATAAAATATTCTGCTTAAACACAATGGTTTGTAATAAAAAAACATTGCTTGACTTCATTACGATTCACCAGCTTGAGGTACAGTATAGTACTGTATGTAGTTACTATTGCTATTTCTAGATTATAATTATTATTACGTGCAAGACGTTTTAGTGTATTTGGAAGTGTTTTTTAAGTGTTTTATATGTATAGAGAGGTAAAATGTGCTATATAGTAAGACAAACATTTGACTAACTGACCTTAAATAAGAAACATATATGCCCATTCCGACTTACCTACACATTCAGCGTAGACAGACGTAGGGAACAGATCTGATTCATAACTTGGGGACTGCCTGTACTGTCTGCACAGGGGATTGGTTGTGGATTGACAACAGTGTGGTGGACTACTCCGAGTGGCTTGTTGGCGAGCCATCTGCCACCAATGAAGAATGTGTCGAGATTTTATCGGACACAGGCAAATGGAACAACAACAACTGCAACCGCTACAAGTCTTACATTTGCAAGATGCCCAAAGGTAAGGGAATGCTTATGACGGATACATTCGCCAGTATGGGTCAGAGAAGGTGACTTGTACAGCTAATTTTTGCAGCCCTCTATTCCATGGACAGCCAGTTCTTAGACCATTTTTGGTTTAAATATTAGTTGGTTTAATATCTAAGTTAAGTCATCTCCTTGTGGCTTAACTTATCCTGTACAAGTCAGTAACTTGAATGTTCATGTCTTAGCTCTGTCTCCATGCAAACAGATTGTAGTGATACCTCCTGCCTGACATGTAACAGCAGTTTATCTTACATTAACTAGTACTCAGTCTCTGTCTTAGTCACAGTAGTAACTTCTGCAATACACAGCACTAGCTTTTATAAAGCACTTGTTAGTTTTCTCAGGAGCAAGATTTTTTGTGTTAGTTTAAAAAAATATGAAAAATTGCAGATGTTGATAATAATAATGTTGAAATAAACACTGGTTTTCAAACAGCGTACATACATAAAAAATATGAGGCATTTATGTGAACATTTTTTGTTTCTCCAGTTATACCCCCAACACAAAAACCCCAAACCGGTAAGTGACTTTAATTATAGTTGCTTACTTATCCATCCATCCATCCATCCATCTTCTAATCACTTCTAACCCTGAACCAGGGTCATAGGGACATGTAGCCTGTCCCAGGAAGCGTAGGACACAATCACACACTGTGGGCAATTTTGAGAATGTGGGCAAAATTAATCAACATATAACTGGAGCAGATTGACAACAGTGAACTTGAAGTCCTTTCTCTAGCATGAACACAAGTGTTGACGTCTCTCCCCTCACGTCACTCAGTGATTCAGCCTGAGGAGCCCCCCCAGAGTTTTGCGGGAGTCGCTATCGCCGTGGTGATCGTCATCCTGACTCTGGTGGGAGTCGCTGGCTACTTCCTGTACAAGCGGAGGCCAGTCCTGCAGGAGTGCACCTTCGACAACACCCTCTACTTCAACAGTGACCCCTCGCGTTCTACCAGCATTGACACCAAGGGTCTGGTGGAAAACATTGAGCAGAATGAGCGGGCCATCACCATCTGACAGAGCCGGCCGCCAGAAGAACACGTCAGGCAAGTCTTCAAGGACCAGCTGATGCTGAGAGTTCAGTGCTAGGGAGAAGAATCCACATGTTTAAAAGCCACGGCACAGTTACGGACATGACTGGTCATGTGATGGGTTCGCAGATTCAAACACAAGCCACGAATCTTGAGGAACTGTGTTAAATAATCATCGACATGCTTGGGACCAACAACGTGTAAAATTCACCTGTCTCTCTCTGATATCAATCACAGGAAACCATGTTTGAAGATAGAATTACCATGACGACGATTCCAGAAGGAAACCATTCAAATGATGATTTTTTTGTACAGCTGGATAAATCTCTTGGAAATAATAAAAAATTTTTTGCAAATGCTTACAAATAGCTCAGAGCTGCGCTTGATCTAAGTCCTTTCTGGATGTGTCCCCCATCTGGTTTATCCCACCTTCTGTTTATTGACTCATTTTCTTGTTTGACTTGGAAACTGTTGTTTTTTTTCGTCTGTAAATAAATGTTAACAAAATTGGGAAGTGGAAGAAATCTCTGAGTTTTCTTTGACGGGTCTTCTGGTCTGGACACCACCTCCTAATCTCCTTAAATAGTTCTTACAATAAGGGCATCTTACAATGTTCTGATTGGTCGACTAGCTCATTAGATAGTTTGCATGTTTGCACAGTGGCCTGGGCTGATCGACTGTAAGAGACACATCTATTTGCCATTCCCTCAAGCCCACTAAGTTCACATCACCCAGTTAAAAATGTTAGTGGATTTACAGTTAGCGGAACTAAATTTGGCAGAAACTAATTGGTCCACTCAGTTTTCAAAGTTAGCGGCTAGTCTAAAAATCTAACATTTAGGCTTATTAAAAGAATTAATTTGTTTTATAATGACATTATAAAATATCCACTGGTATAGCTCCACACCGGTGGTGACTGGTAGCTAAAAAAATGAGGCAGTAAAAATACATTTTACAATATTACAACATAGAATTTTTCCAAAGTGAAGAGAAATGTGTTTTTAGATGGCAAATTTTAGTCATGAGTTATTTCAAAGTAACTTGTTTCATAATTTAAAACAGATGTAGTATGGGCCAGCTGCCTCTATGGGCCAGCTGCCTCTATGGGCCAGATGCCCCTTTGGGCCTGCTGCCTCTATGGGCCTGCTGCCTCTGATCTGCTCACAGCAGAACTACAGGGAAATACCATTCTCCTGTCCTTAAGGCACAGGAAAGATCTTTAAAATGACAGGAAATAAGTCTGCAGCTTTAGGGTCTGAGTTAGTTCAGAGAACGACGAGAGGAATGGGAGCTTTAAATTCAGAAATTAAACCTCATTAGACATGCAGGCCAATTAAGACCATGACAGAGGTCTGGACCTAATCTGGTAGCCTGGAGTGCCCCGTTGGTTTGGTCAGGCATCATCCTACAGTGAGCAAAATTTGAGATACTCTCTCGGGTTGGGAAACTTCTCTGTTTAAGTATTTACGTAAGTATTTTTATTTTAAGTAGTGATCTCTGTATTGTTGCTTTTGTGCTGGGAGAATTTGTAGGAGAGAGGATTCCCACTTTGGATCTCGGGGTGATGTTCCTCTGTAAGGTCCAGCTACCTCTATGATGGGCAGCGAACGACATTCTCTGTAGCTGGTATTTGTGCCCCTGTGGCGAACAGTTGTCTCAAATCACCCCCAGAAGGGCCCCCCCCCCCCCCCCCCCATCTGGAGAGCTGCCGTTTGAAGATAATACATTTTTGGAGTGTGATTCATTCTCGGGGCACCAACATTGGAGATTTGCCCCCCCCCACCAAACAACCAGCCAAGCTCAGAGTCCCCTCATTGTTAAAATGAAAGCGCTGCTCTCCATGGCAACCGAAGCCCTATAAGGCTGCCTCCACTAATCCCCCTGTAGCTTGTGCAATTCCTGTTTCTTGATAAGCGGTCTTGCTAGCACGACGGAATTCCAGAACCTTCCGTCAGAGCCACCTCTGTCTCATCACCCCGAGCAGGAAGACGACGGCAGGTGAGGAATTATGATTGATTTTTTTGCTGTGATTTGCTGTGATTCTCTTCCTCCGTGCCGAAGTTCGGGGGGGGCACACGCAGGGACGCTTTTGCGGGCGATGTTCAGCATGCGATGGTCCCTTGGAAGGAGGGGGGGTTGGCGTCAGACTAGCGTGGGGACCCCATGTGAGGACCAAGGACGGTGCTGCAGATTTTGGGGGGGGGCAGCTGCTCTCATCTCGTGCTCGTAACTCATCAGCTGGATCTCTGCCTACTCTATGCACCTGCCTCCCCCACTAAAAGACACAGATTCCCGCTTAGCTGGATCTCACAGCGAAGAATTTTGGGTTAAACTTGCTGATCTGGGGCTGATACATGTGCAAAAGTGGAAATTGGAGATTCACCAACGAAAGGGTGTTTCCTCAAATGTAAGTCAGGGATAAACCTTCTTATTAGATGGTAAATGTGTGTAGTTTAGACTCACGTCTATGTCCAGGTTCTGCATTTTCGCTTCCTGGCTATGCATCCCCTGCTCTTCTCCCGATTTCAGTATCGCGGGTGGGATTGTTCATCCCAGTTAAAGTTTCTCGTACGATCCAACTCTGTGGCGTAACAATACTGAACTCCCTCGAGCTAAAACATACCACTGGAGTGAACCTTGGGCACTAATTATTTCCCAAAAAAGGGATTTCTGCCCCCTGCTGGCTGAGGTTAATCCTTCTTAATGTGGGGTTAGGGTTTTTAGCAAGCCATTCTCTTTAGGAGGGCACAAATTAGGCAATGAGGTCTCAATGAGACCCCCTGGCGCTGACCAAAGTGAACCATCTTGAAACCAGTGCTTAAACCAGGGGTCTCCAACTCCGGTCCTGGAGAGCTACTATCCAGTAGGTTTTCTGTCCCACTTGGCTTGTTTTGGTATTTACCTGAGAACAGGTGTGGCTCATCAGAAGCCGGGTAGGATAGAAAACCTACTGGATGGTAGCTCTCCAGGACCGGAGTTGGAGACCCCTGACTTAAACAATCGCTCTAAAATCCGTAGGCTTTCCCTCTTCTGCTTTTCAATACCCCCAGTCCTCTCCCCATCTCTCTTATATTCCACTCAAGGTTGTGAATATGGCTCCTGGGGATCAGATACTGCCCCTGGTGGTTGGTCTGTGCATGTCGAGCGCAGCTTTGGCGATGGCCTACCAGCAAGACGCCGCCGGGACCTTGGTGTGGAACGACCCGACGCAGCTGCGAAGGGACCAGACGGGGGCGCTGGCAGCCAGGCTTTTGCTCGCGGTGCAGTGTCCCAGCCGGGTGGGGGGCACCCTCGAGCAGTGTCAGCAGGTCAGGTGGTGGGATTTGGGGGGAATGGGGGTGGGTGTCATGGGCTTGTCCCGGGGGGTTGCTGAGTTATCTCCCGGTTATCGAATATCTGAACCGGGATGCTCTCCAGCACCAAGCCTTGAGTGTTGGGGGTGGGGTATGGGGGGGGGGGGTTTCTCAAAGCGACCCATGGTTTGTGAGCAGGAAAGGACATCAGGAAGTGACACGTCCCACGGGTTCTAGCACGTTCCACCACCATCCTGCAGTATATCTATTGCATGTCAGTGAAAGTTCCCTTTTTCTTGTGGAACTCTTGACTCTTGTCAGTCTACTTTTCAGTATGGGGGGGGGGGGGGGGGGGGGGGGGGTAAGGTTTGGGAAATGTGCCGTACACTGGCAGAGAATCGGATACTTTATAACAAGCCTTAAGCAAGAGAGGATTGTAATGCCATATAAAATCATGACTTTTAGGAAAATCATGGTTGATTTGATTATTCTCTCTTTTTCTGAGTCTGAGGGCTCTGTGGCTCATGCTTTGGCCTTATACCTCCAGAGCTGTGGGTTTGAGTCTCTCCTTGGCTTACAGTTTCCTCCAGATACTCCGGTTTCTTCTCACAATCCAACAACATGCAGGCAGGCTAATTGGTGTCTCTAAATTGCCCTTTGCCTGTGATTATGCACATGTTTTTGTGCCCTGTCGTCGACTGGTGTCCCATCCGGGGTGTCCCCTGACTTGTGCTCTCTGCTCATAGCGATTCTGTTCTGGATTATTGGTTATGGGTGGATATGTCTTCAGTGGGTTAACTTTACACTTTTGTAAAGTAAAGTAAAGGTCAGACTTCCCTAAAAGCATCCCAGACCTGTCACTGGCGTATGCTGATTTTTTGCCCTGTCTGTGTGCTATCAGACCTGTGGCTAATTTACAGGCAGGTCATTTTGGAGGGACGGGGGTGGTTAAAATGTTGATGAAGCAGGTAAAGCTGATGAGAGAGCAGGAAGCCCCTGTTTCCCCCCACCCAGCTTGTCTATGGAAAACATATGGGGACCTTTCATCCTGGCTTGGGGCGTCCAGTGAACCGCCTGCAAGAAAGGGCAGCCTTTTAATTCAGGCTCCCTCTCCACATAACATGTTCCTGGATATAATTACATAACAGCATTTTCTATTTTTCAGCATTTTCCCGAGTTTCTTTTAATAGCTTGTTCTCCTGTACTTAAGCTGACGCTGAACTGTTTGTTATTGACGGTCCCATCTGGTAAGTCGCCACCTAAGCAAGGTCCGACTGGTAAGCAGTTTAAACGTTTCCTTGACAACTGCCCAAAAACATGTATTACCCAATCACATGCCCCGCTGGTGTTGTTCTGCTCTCACATTGTTTCTGTAGATTCTTGTTTTGTTACGGATTTACATCCAAAGGACACCCCTTTTGTCTGGAGATTTCACGGATTCATGAATCCCTGCCATTTCTCCTCAGTGCCTTACGACAGACTTGCTGCTGTCGGTGCTGCCGGGCCCTGGTGGAGAGTACCTGACGGAGGACGATTTCGGTCGGATCTCCACCGTCTTGCTGTACTACATGGTCAACACGGAGCAACTCTGCTTGGCCAATGTTTCCTCCTCTCCCGGGGACTTTCAGTACTACCTCTCAGCTGTGACGGGCCTCCACCCCCAGGAAGACGATGAGTACCTCTCCGCCAACGAGACAGAGAGCATCTTGCGAGTCATTAGCTGGTACTACCGGGCCAGAGCCCAGCACCCGCGGGTCAGCACTGCGTCGACCAATCAGACATGCCTATTAGGTCAACATCTTAATGATGTCAGAGACATGAAAGTGTACCTGCTTTCAAGATACCTTATATACCTTCACGATACCTAAGACTGGAAGGGTGGCGTAGTGACTCCAGGATAGTGGGTTCAAATCCCAACCCCATTTAGATAGATAGATAGATAGATAGATAGATAGATAGACAAACTTTATTAATCCCTCAGGAAGTTTCCTCCAGGAAATTCAGTTTCTTGGACAGCTCTATTAATTTTGCTTGTTTGAATTGGTTTTCTCCAGATACTGCAATTTCCTCTTGCAGTTCAGTACATTTTTTGTCACTGTATGGTACATGATGTAAGTGTGTGTATACACTGAGCCTGTCCAGCGTGTCCCCTGCTTTTTGACCTGTTCTTACAGGGATAGGCTCCAAGCCAAACAAAACCTGGATAAACAAGGAAGATGGCTAGATGAATGGATGGATAGAGCTCTTCTATTCATACTCATAAATACATAGGAAACAAGCCACATATTTCATCAAATAGACACAATGTGGTATTTTAATGAATTTTCGATGTGTCTTCAGTTAGCTTTCTATCCATTTCAAGATGCCTTTAAATAACTCATAGCAATCTTGAAATTATTTGCATTTTAAACCACGGAATATTTCAATTGACAATGAAACATTTAAATATATCTCTGGTGAAAGACTGTCTCTGACTCATAAAGCTTGGTTGCGTAATAATAATAAAAAAAAAACCGATTTATTAAAAATGTAAAGAATCCCACGCACAGGTCTCCTGTAACATTATTCCATAGCGCCCACTGGTGGAGGTTAACCTCCTTACCGCCGTTCCCGCTTTCTCCTCCCAGTGCGTCGACGCCTTGTCCCTGATGGAGGGGGTGGGCACGGCTGATGGACGCGGCGCTGCCCCCCAAGCTGTCCCCAGAGTGGCGGGGGCCATCATCGGACACATCCTTCGGGGGCAGTGCTTCAGCTGGAGGAACCTTCCGTCCCCGGGGTTTTTTGTGGACCGCATTTTCCAGTCCCTGAATAGAACCAGCGACCTGGAAGTCGCAGGTGACCCGCGTGAAAAATGCCCCTTAGATTCCCTGCTGGCACATCAGTGTCGACGCTATCTTTATCGGCATTGTGCACATGCACAAAGGAAAGAGGTGGTAGAGTCTCCTAGTGTGAGAATCACACACAGCAGTAGTAATAAAATAGTTCAGCAGAATCAATAGGATAGCATTTAAAAATAGCACAGCACTTAGTTTCTTGAGTAAAAGGCGAGGATCGCGTGCTGCATATGATCACCCCACAAGAGCAGTACTTTTTTTCGAACCTGCAGCCATTTGGGCTTAATTCTGCATCCCTGACCCATTTGACATAGTGATTTCATTCCTAGTGTCTAATAAAAATATGTAGAGTCTGCAGGAAAACATCATTTGGATTTGGAAAAGGAGACTGGGAAAATATGAGGGCTAAAGGAACTATTTAATCAACCATTGAGCTTATGTTGGGAGTGGTGTGGGTTTATATACTGTAGGTGGAAATTTGCACAGGTTGTTTGTATTAAAGGCCTCTGTAAGACCTGACGTGCTGTTGTGCACTGTGCTAACGTGATGTCACATGCCACCATCTAATCCCTAGACCTGGAGACTTTGCTGCATCTTCTGGGCGTAGGAGGGGGCGGGGCTTCCCACTTGCACAGCAGGGGTAGGCTGAGCATTGAAGACCCCTCCCATGGACTGGCGGCAACCAGCGAATCAGAGAGCTGTCCTCAGGAGTCACATGACCACAGCACTGATTGGACAAAGGTGTGTCTATTTGCCCTAATGAGCAAAGCCTGAATTTTTGTTTGTATCGAAATTTATCCACACATAATGTGTGCATGTTTCAACAGGTCTGCTTCTCAGCCAGTCAGCTGGTGGAGATCTTTGTGCTGAAGCACCAACGTCCGATCTCCAAGGAGCACTTTGGGAACATCTGCCCAGCCGTTGTGCAGCAGATGTTGGACCATGCCTGTAGCTCTGCCGCACATGCAGGGCACGGCCCAGCTCCGAGCACCATGGAGAGTAAGAACTCCTCCTCTTCCTCTTTCCCATATTTCTCATGAAATGCGCAGCCCTGAGAAATTTGCATGGACCTTGGGAGTTATATAGTCATACACACATAATCAAAACATTTTTCTATATTGCCAACTTTGTATTTTTAAGCATTTGTAGATGGATGGATAGAACTCACCGCTACTTCTTCATTTTCATAAATGACAAGAAGTTACTCCCAAATTGAATCGACCCAGGAGCAGATTAATGCACAGGCTCTCATAGGTTATATAGCTCAGGGCTCCAGCAAACATCAGCTTCCCCAGCTTGGGGAAAGATGGGGCAGTTAGTTAAATCACTTCAGTGTCCATGCTGAGATCAGCCTAGGGCCCCCAGATTAATTAATTTGGCTCTGAATCTACTAAACATGATTATTATTTATTATGATTATAAGTATAATTATAATAATGAAAATTATTATTATTATTATTATTATTATTATTATTATCCAGTAAAATGACCAAATAATCACATTGGGAAAGTTCTTTGGCGTAGACCAGGGTTCCTGGATTCCAAATCCAGGCCTTGTTTTCAGTTCTCCCAGGTAGTTAGTTTAATAATGACTGATTCTGATTGGTCAGAGGCTTCACACCTGGCTCACAGGTAAAGCAAGGCTGGAAAACCAGCAGGGATCAGACCTTGAGGACCGTGATTTGAATAACCCTGGAGTTAGGTGTTGGACACAGGGCCTGGTCACTGTAGGAGGACATGGTGTCCACCACAGCTAAACCGCTCCACCTCTCTCCATCCCTCTCTCCACCCCCCTCCCGCAGAGTACGGCTACAGCACGGCTGCCGTCCTCCTGGTCACCGTCAGCTCCATGTTAGGCACTGCGTTGGTCTTCTTCAACTCATGCCAGGAGGTCTACGACCTTGTGCTGCAGCTCTTCGTGGGCCTGGCGGTGGGGACGCTTTCCGGAGATGCCCTCCTGCACCTCATCCCACAGGTAAGAAGGGGAGGAACATCCCAGAACAAAGGGGACTTGTAAGCATGACACCTACAAACAGCCATTACTGACCTCACAATCAGCTACCAACATAGAGATGGAGATATTATTTATTTACATTTTACTTTGGTCCAAAGCAACGTGCAAGTGAAGCAAATGGCATATGACAACGCGCAGTGTCTTCCAAATAAAACAAGGAGCTAATAAGACTATTGTTTACGTCAGTAGAAAGTGCAACATTAGGAGCATTGGGGGAATATGCAGTGGTATGGGCTAGTCCAGGTGTTCCTGGAACAGATGACTGGGTCTTGCATTAATTATCTGTTAAATACTATCGTACACATCCTCTGCTATCGATGACGCTCCAATCTGCAGGGCAAACATGGAGACTAATTTAGGTCTAATTCAGGTATTTCCAGTCTTGTAAGACACCTCAGTGTTTTCGGTTTTGTTTAGAAGATCGTTTTAATTAGACACAAGAAATATTGTAGCACCGGGCAGACCGAGGAATGGCGAGAGCAGCGAAGGATAAGGAGATTCGCTTGACAGAACAGAACTTTATTATAGTCTTGAACTGGACTGTAGCAGGCACTCAACGCTAAAGACACGTGAGGATCTAACTCGGTTCACGCAAGACATGGGAAAACACACGTGCGACAATAGGAAAATATAATTATAACCATAACTACAGCAACAACAATACGAGGGCTATTTACAATACACAGACACTGGGCTACATACACGCACTCACGAGGCATTGGTATCCATAAATTTGCAGGACCTCTGATAAGCTGCTTAAAGGGGAGCTATTATGCTCACTTTCACTGTTCATAATTTTATTTTGGCGTTCTTCTATGAGAGATTTACATGCATCAGTGTTCCAAAAACATTTTTCTCATACTGTACATTTCTATTCACCCCTCTATCTGAAACACTCCGTTAGAGCTTTAAGCCCCACCCACAATGAGCTCAGTGTGCTCTGATTGGTCAGCTTGTCCAATTGTCACCATGTCATGAAAGCAAGGGTTGAAATTCAGACAGACAGACAGTATGGGGTGTTTCAGACAGATTAGAGAAGAAGTGTCTGTTGTTAGAGTTATTCCCATTGGCATGTACTTTGGGTCTTAAGACTTTGCAAACTGTTTACATGCACATAAAACTATATAACACACTAAAGGAAAGGGAAAAACCAGAAAAACCATATTAGGGCCCTATATGCAGGAAAAAATATGTGAAATGAAGTATAGATGATGGTTTTAAATGTACATAGACAGGTATATTTTATACATAAACTGAACGAGAAGGACAGGGCTTAGAGGCAGAGCGCTAAGCAATCTCTGTATCAAATGAAAGGTGTAGACCTGAGATGTTAAGTTCTAAGCTGGAGCATCAGAAAACATTTGTTCTCGTGCCAACAAGGCTGGCATTTTGTTGACTTTGGATGAAAGCTTACATCAGGAAGACAGCGATATCCCCGCCGAGGACATTTTGGCCTTGCCTTCATTTCTCCTGAGAGCTTATTAACACCTGATGACTGCCAGCTCCGTCCCGCATTGTGTGCAAACTGCTGACAGGAAATCCGACGAGAGGCTCCGGCGTTAGGCTGGACGTTCTCACGGTGACACCGCTTCCTGTTATCCCTTCTCTCAAGATCCTCGGACTCCACGACCACGCCGACCACGAGGACGGGCATGCCGCGGAGGACAAGGACTACCTGTGGAAGACCTTGAGAATCATAGCGGGCATCTACAGCTTCTTCCTGATCGAGAGGATCTTCTCGCTTGTCATGCCAGCGCATGGCCAGGCAAGGAGCCGTCATGTAGTGTTGGAAGAAATGTCTCTGGAAAAGTTTTGTTTGGTCTCTCGAAGGAGGCACCAGACCCGGCCGGCCGAACTCTTTTCGGGGCCTTAAGAAAAATGTCATTATCTTTGTTGTCATTTGTCATCTTCCTTCCCATTTTTGATAGACTTATCAGGTGGGGGGCCCTGGTGGGCTCTGGGCCAAAAGCAGCTACATAGTTCATTTATGCCTTGGGCAAACTCTGCACCAGACTGTGGTTGGCCACATTTTTATAGTTCAGTTAGATCAACTGCAGAATAAATTCTCAAACTATTAGAACTGATGGCCACCTACTGTAAATGGCTTGAAAATATAAGCATAAGCTAAATTATAATCGAGCTTGCCTGTAAAGAGATTTGGTTCCCTTCAGACATAATACTACATCTCCATTTATATTTCTACACTACATTTGTTGTCTTAGATGACACTTTGATGAGAGGCAACTGAGATATTCTCTGATTAATAGAGGTGGTTATCTTCATATGGTGCTTTTCCACTGCCACTAAGAACCAAGTGAACTGGAGGTTTTCCACTGCAAAGTATGCAGGTCGTACCCAAGCCGTAACTGTGCTGACACGGCTCTGCTTGCTAGCAGAAAACGTGACCAAACTGAGCTGGCTGCTTCACTACTATGTGATTGGTCGAAATACATGGAGATACTGGTGTTCTGTGCATGGATTCTATGAAGGAAAAAGTATATGTTCTTTATATTATTCATTATTAGTAGTACTGCACCACCTGCTGTCTTTTTCTGGAAAGACTCGATACAGGGTTCCAGTTTACTGGGATGGGAGTCTCAGCTCATTTCCTTGAGGCAAGGACCTGACTTCCAAATCTTCTCCTTCCCGGCAGGGACGCTTGTTTGCTGGTGACCGTTCGGGCCGTTCCCATGATGTCCCACTGGAGATGCATAGGAACGTCCAACCGCAGATGGGAAAAACCATCTCCACCATGCAGCTGGTGAGGAGCTGTCTTTGGGCAGACGAGCCAGTATATCTTTCAAGCCTTCAGCAGAAGCTGGTCAATCTTTCAGTAGAAGCCTGAAGTCTAGCGTTCAGTACTGTGCTATAGCTGTTCGGCTTGTTGTTAAGGAAGTTAAGGTTCCGACTCCCAGGATATGGATCTTCAAATAAATGTGCTTGGGAACAGGAGGGAACTGAAGCCTGGCTGTGGAAGGACTGCGCCTCGTTTATAAAAGGGAGGGGGGAGGGTTTAACAGCTTCTCTTTGTCTGATAGGGACCTGGTGGAGGTCAGCCTTGGAAGGGTTTCATTAACATTTCATGCTTGCGACATCTGTTACGTTTGTCTATGTGTGTAGGGGGAGGACGGCTCTTACAGGCCGGTTCTAAGCCCACAGTTGCCCAAGTGTGGCCCCTGCAAAAATAACTGGCCTTTGAAGGCCACCCTAATCTAAATTTTCAGCAGGTGCCACTGAACGGGAAGTGTAACAACTTGGCCTCACTGCCTACTAGTTATTAGCCTTCATAAAGAAGGTCTGTGGTGAAACTCCCCAACCTGGGCCATCCGTCCATCACACCAGGTCTTCTGGCCCCTGAGACCAAAAGTCCCAGCACTGGTGGAAACAGGGAACCAGGGGGGCTTGTTCCGCTGACTGGATAGACGGCTTCAGGATGAGGTGAAGCAGAAGGCAGAATATATGGACCCCAGAGGCTTGTTCTCCATTAGTCCAACCTGAAGAGGTTTTGTTGTTCTTCTCTGCCACATTCCAGATTTTTCTATTTTTATGCGAAGTGTTTTGGGTTGTCTATGTTTGGAAGGTTACTTTCCATCCATCCATCCATCCATCCATTTTCTGCAACAGGGCAGGGATGCCCATACCTCCCTCTCACCTCCTCCAAGGTGTTCCCAGGCCAGCCAAGAGATATAATCTCCCCAGCATGTCCTGGGTCTGCCCCAGGGTCTCCCCTCCAGTTGGACATGCCTGAAGAGCTTTGAAGGGCGTGACTGTCACAGCACGGGTTTGGGACGCACTTCAGTAAGACACTGCTGGGTTTGCATGCTCATGATGCTCTTCTCTATGACAGGGTGCTCTGGAGGACTCCGAGTGTGTCGAGATGCCCCCTGACGGGCCTGAAGCTCGTGCCCCTCCCCTGCCAAAGAGTAAGATCCTTTACTGACTGTGAACAGAGCGCCCCCCCCACCTCCCGTCCCACGTGAGGCTGGGCACCTGACCCAGCTCTCCCTTATGCCCCCCCCCCGCTCCCCAGAGCCAGGGATGTCGCTGCTGGCGGTGATGGTGATCGTGGGGGACAGCCTGCACAACCTCGCCGATGGGCTGGTCATCGGGGCAGCATTCTCGTCCTCTGTGGAGATGGGCACCGCCGCCACCGTGGCGATTCTGTGCCACGAGATCCCGCATGAGATGGGTACAAAACTGGGGGGGGGCTGGTCCTGCGGGACCATGACTGCACGGTTAAAGTGTGTCTATAGTGAAGAGACACATCACAGTACAGCTTCTATATAATTATAATGCAGAAATATGAAATCAGCACTTTATCCAGTCTGAGGGGGGGTTGGACCCTATTGAAGGCTACACTGGGCACACTGTGTTTCTAAGAGAAAGAAAAAAGATCTATCTATCTATCTATCTATCTATCTATCTGTCCATCTGTCTGTTTATAAATGTTTACATTGATATATTTATGAATGTCTATTGTAAGATACATGTCCTCTCTCTGTGTCAATATATTTTTATTATGTATATACACTCACCTAAAGGATTATTAGGAACACCTGTACAATTTCTCATTAATGCAATTATCTAATCAACCAATCACATGGCAGTTGCTTCAATGCATTTAGGGGTGTGGTCCTGGTCAAGANGGGGTTGGACCCTATCCAAGGCTGCACTGGGCACTCTGTGTTTCTAAGAGAAAGAAAAAAAATCTATCTATCTATCTATCTGTCCGTCTGTCCGTCTGTCCGTCCGTCCGTCCATCCATCTATCCGTCCGTCCGTCTGTCTATCTATCTATCTGTCCATCTGTCCGTCTGTCCGTCTATCTATCTATCTGTCCATCTGTCCCTGTTTATAAATGTTTACATTTTACAATAGACATTATGAATGTCTATTGTAAGATACATGTCCTGTCTGTGTCAATATACTTTTTATTATTTATTATTTTTATTATATTTGATATGTATATACAATACTGTGCAAAAGTCTTAGCCAGTCACAGAAAACGATGTTTATACTGGAGTAAAACTATGACGTGTGTGTCAAAGTGCGCCAGCTTAGCCATTTCAAAACCCCTCCTAAAGTCTCACTGGTATTGGCAGCAACCATCCAATATACAAATGTGTTTGACTGGACCACTTGGCTAATCGATACCTCATCAGATTGTTTGGCTAATTAAGTTCATTAAGAAAGCTGGTGATGAAAGGAGAGGTTTGGGAACTGAACTGATGTCCATCTAGCCATCCAGAAAGATATCAAAGACTTTTGGAGAATAGACGAAGTTCTTGTTTATTTTTTTTGTGTCACTATTAATTTGCATCTGTTCTGATGTCAAATTGTGTTTTATTCTGTGTGAATATGCACCTCCTGCCCACATATATAGCTTTAAGCATCATATCCTTGGGCTGCCTAAAATCTCTGCACAGTACTGCATGTTTATATTCTGCTCACTGAAGCCCCCCCCCGCCGCCTCCCCCACATCCCGCACCCCAGGTGACTTCGCTGTCCTGCTCAGCTCCGGCCTCTCTGTCAAGGTCGCCGTGGTGATGAACTTCCTCAGCGCCCTCACCGCCTTCCTGGGGCTCTACATGGGCCTCTTCGTCTCCACGGACACGGCGGTGCAGCACTGGATCTTCTCCGTTACCGCCGGCATCTTCCTCTACCTCTCCCTTGTGGAAATGGTGAGTCCCCCCCCACCCCCCTGCCACCCCCTGCCCACATGTACGTGGAACCACGTCTTTCATAACCGAGCCTGGAGTCTATGCCAGGAAGAACTGGGCACAAGGTAGGGGGACAGGATTTAGGTGTCAGGGGGGGTCACCTAGCAGAGGATAGGGGGGCGGCACTGGGAGAACATTCCGGCTACACACACGAATCAAACTGTAAAAAAACTCCCAAAGTTTACGGGTTTAGTTAACTAGCATGTCAAGGGCAGACTTTATTTGTTGAATCAAATGTTGGAAGATAGATGGATAGTTTTTTTTTAGCAGAAGGCACCAGATGCAACTTAAAAAATTCAACTAAAAGTCAAAAGTATAGCTCCTGAAAGCTTTTGCACAAATTCCCAGTGCTCTATTATAAATATACTCTTTAATATGGATTTCATACAACTTTTTTATGAAACACATTGGAAAATGGATTGGCATACGCAATGAAAATTGACCTGTAGCTAGCCTCCTCACGGTTCCACGGCCTATGGACATCCTATCCATCCAATGGGCAGCCTGGGAAATGACAGGCCCCGCCCTTCTCTCCCCTACAGCTCCCAGAGATGAGCCAGGTGAGGACCAAGCGTCCTTGGCTGATGTTCCTGCTTCAGAACCTGGGTCTCCTCCTCGGCTGGGCATGTCTCCTGCTGGTGGCCCTCTTCGAGCACCAGCTGGAGTTCTGAGGGAGCAACCGGTCGCTGCCCTGATGGACAAACTGCACCCCTTCCGGTTATGTGGCCCCCTCTCTCACCTCTGCCGCCCACCATCTTGCTTTGAAGTTAGAAGCACCTTGCTGAATCTGTAGATGGTACTAGGCGAGGAAAGGCTGAGAAATGGCGACTTTGAGAGCTCGCTGTTTGACTGTCCCTGAACCGGCGAGCTGCACTGAGATTTAAATGGTATGGGGGTCCGACAAACCCCTCCCCCCACTGGAGAGAACCACTCACTGCTAGAATGGTAAAGACCTTCTGTCCTTCTAACCCACAGTCAGACAGAATTTCTTCATCTCTTCCAACATGTCTCACACTAATACTATAAACTCCACCCTCCCCTTGGTCACATGACCCGATGGTTTTTTTTAATTGTTTTTTGGTGAGCTTTTAAGGGATTATAAGCTTGGGTTCTCCAGTCTCTCTCCAGGAAGCCACGTTCTGCAGTCTTTGCTTGGATGGTCCTTCATATGGGAAGTGCACCAAATTAATAGCTACCTGCTACCTACTGTGTCTCTATTATGGTTTTCTGTTTTATAGAGTAAAGTACAGGATAAGAGATTCTTTCATAGATCCTTTTGGAATATCTCCATGTACCAGTGTAAGATAATGTTTGACAATGAATAAATTTCTCTGTAATAATTCTGAGTTGCTCATTGAATTCTAGAGTTGAATAGTTGCTGTGGGGTGGGGGAGTGAAATGCTGGTTGATCCGGTTGGATCCGGATCTTCACGAAGCGGGGAGCATGTTTTCTGGTGTTCCTATCATCTTTAGTGGGCCTGGGATGTGGGGGCGGGGGGCATGGATTCGATGAGACCACTGAGCGATGACCCATCCCAGCCTGCCATCAACAGCAGTGTTTAGCACCACTCAAACCACACATTTGCGTGGGCCCCCCCCAGGCCACAAAACGGTTACTACACTAGGGGGCTTGGGGGCCAGAGTGAATTTTTGAGTGGGGAGGGAGCAAACCGGCCTCCACTTGCCATCAGCCTTTTTCTTCTGAGGTACGTATGCAGGTCTTTGGATAGGGATGTGATGGGGGTGGCAGCCATGAAGGGCTGTAGGGCTTTTCTTCCCCACCATAAAAAACCTCATAGACACATAATACATGTAATAAACTAAGTGGTAACTACTGCCTCCAGGGTTGTGGGTTCGAATCCCTGCCTCCTTTGTGTGTGTGGAGTCTGCATCTTCTCACTTTGTTGTTCACATTTCCTGCTGCAGTCCAAAGACATAGTCAGGCTAACTGCCCATAGTGTGTGTGTGTGGGGGGGGGGGTCGTGAAGGTATTACATTGATGGGACCAAACGTTCCCACAATTTGAGAAACACCTGCTGTTTTCACCTTGTGGTGACCTTTTTTTCAGTCCCCACAAGGGGAAATTCAATTTTATAAAAACTGTGATTGCAATCAAAAATAGCCAGGTCTCATATTTTGTTTGGTTACTTATGGTTAAGGTTAGGGCTGGGTAGGGGGTAAGTTTGGGTTAGGGTTAGGGTTAGGGTTAATGAACTGGCCTCCTGTCCAGGGTCCTGCCCTGCGCTGCCTGGGATAGGTGACCCTGATCAGGATAACTGATGGATGGATGGATGGATGGATGGAAGGATGGATGGATGGATGGATGAACGGACAGATTATATTAAACAACAATTACTGTCCCTGTTGCACAAATTCTGTTATGCACAGAGTTTAAAAAGGTGTGATTTTTTTCAACATGCAGTGCAGACACTTAAATACAAAAACATTTATTTTGTGAATCTGAGTGTGACTGTCTAAGTGGCACCATGATTATATTAAATTGTCCTGAATATTTCCTCTATACACCCATTTCAGGTCAAGCAAGCATACTTTAGGTCTCCCTTGAAAAATGTTAGTTTTGCGAATTATTAATTCAGCTCAGTATTATAAATATGATTTAGAATAAGATACACAAACATTGGTTTGCTTAGAGATTTGTCAGCCTCCCCTATAAACACACAACTTCAACCTTTTCAGGTCGTGTTGTTACAATGTGAGGAAGTTGATTGCGAGCTTTTCTGCTTAAATAGGAATTTTCAGGAAACCTTTCGGATTTGGGGGGGTTGGTGTGTGTTCGGGAATTACGCTTTCGTGGATGTTGGGGGTGAGGTTGTTTTCAAACTCCCAGCGCTGACAGGACAAGGAAGGAAAGCCTTTGTTATCTCTGCCATGATAATGTTTTTTTTTTAACCAGAGGACGACAGTGATGGTCGTGAACTCACACGATCAGCAGAATCATTTTGGGGACCTTCCGAGCAGAGATTGCGAGCCAAGCTCCGACACTTCCGGAAACTGGAAGTCCAGTTTTCCCCATTGCGGAAAAGAGTGAATCCTGACAGATTTTAAAACAGATATGCGCACAATCAGAAATTTGCCAATATCCTATCATCGCCGGCATGTACTGAATAAGCAACTTACTCCCTCAAGAAATTCCACTTCGAAGCAAATAAGGAAAAAAAGGTTAATGCGTGTGTGCGTGTCTCAGCAAAAATTCGTCACACTTAAATAGGATACCAATGGATATGCTATAATATTCTTGCTTTTGCAGTTGTTATTTAATTAAATGTAATTAATCGCATTAAGGATTAAATTAAAATATTTTACATGGTTGCTGTGCAGTTAAATTTGGGGCAGTATCTTACTTAACCGTGCAATCATGGCTTTCATAAAGAACTCAAATCGACGGGCGAATAAATGAAAAAGTTACCAATTGTGTTTAGACATAAAATCAGAAAAACAAATGGTAGAAAACATAAAGCCGACTCGTGTGACTTGAGGTGTCACTTGTTGAAATACCCACATTGGCCGCTAGATGGCAGAAACAGATCGCATTTTACGACGGGACTTGCAGCGACGTGTATGCGGCGTGCGTCATCTGCCCCTGTACTTTGTGGTAAAGCTAAATCAAACAAACAGTTATTTATGATCCGTTTAATGGATTTCCAGGTCAGGTTATATCCACGCAATCAGATAAATGTAGCAAATCTTGTAAGCTATGCAAAATGTTCGTGTTTTGGTATTAAACGTTATTCCTTCGATTAATATAGTGCATTTACGAAATAAATGCAAAAAACCTACAAGTTAATAATCGGAGGATTGGAAATGAAGCCTGGTACTGAGCTTGGCTTTGGGGAATTGAAAGTTTGCAGTTTAAGTACCAAGTTGGGGCTTTCTTTTGTAAAATAATTTTGTAAATAATTAATGTAAAAATAGTTTTTAAATATATTATAACCAATGCACCAAACACTATCTTCTCTTTTGCGATTGCACAGTACAGACAGGGATTGCGCCATCTCCCAGCTAAAGTATTCCTTTAAAAAAGTACGGAACAACAGCAAAGAGTATCTGATGCAAGAAAGCCCGCTGAATGACATATATTAAAGGCGCTCAAAATAGTCCCTCTGTGCATGGGAATTGTGGGAGCGGGGGACTGCGAGAATGTCAAGACTAAACTAAGAGAGCCATGCCATATATGAGCAAGGCGTGATGCCTAACAGCCTGCACACGTCCTGTCCCTATGGAAAACCCACATCCCTGCAAAATGTCAAAAACTGTCCCGTTAAATGCGTGGGCTGAGTGCCGCAATGGGTTGCATTAAAGCAGATTGTGGTTCTGATGGCAGCTTGGGGCAGCAGGCGCGTCCCAAGTTTACTATTTGGGTCTCAGAGAGATGAGTTTATGATAAAGACCGGGTGGATGGAGGATGCCAGGAATCCACTTGTCTTAGCGAAATTTGCCCCTCCTTCTGCCGTCTTCCCGGCTGAGATGTGACTCAAACTTCTGGAGCGAGTCTTCAGACCTACGAAATTAAAATCACATCCACCCCACGCCTCTGGGATTACGGACTTCTATTCACCTCCGGCCCAAACCTTCGGAACCTTAAGGTTGCGTTTTCGTCGTTTTGAATGCACTTCACACCCTGACGCCTTCTTGGTGTAACCTTCTACGTTACAAATTTAAGGAATAAAAAATATCGACAAATAAATCTGTCCAATGGTCCAGAACAGCATGTTGAAGATACCTTCCGCTTCCCAAGAACTTCACCTGGACTCCTCTGAAAACCCCGTAGTAAGTATACACTTAATTATTCATTTCTCTTTCTTTTTTCCTGATTCTCTTGTTGTTTCATTTTAAAATATGCATTTGCGTTTGATATGTGGCTGAGAAAGGTTGCTTAATGACCGCGGATAAAACAAAACATTTAAAGAAAACTTTTGCAATGTGGCCAACGAAGCGCACAGTCTCTGTTTGATTAGATGGGCGTCTGTTTACACACCGGTAGGAGTGCATGAACTCCGATTAAAATCTGGAATTTTAACATAATTTCGCAGAGGCATATTGTGTGAATATCTGATTACCAGTTTCTTTTTAATAATTCGGAAAAATCAAGCTCATCATGCAGCTATCCAGAAGCCGTAGTAAAAGTCCAGATTTGGTATTTCTGTGGTTTCATGTGAGATCAGATGATGGTTAATGAGCCGATTTGAAGTTAGATCCGTTTTAGGAGCGAGATGCTGTGGATGTGAAACAGGTCAACAGGTCTTTATACGAAGCCCAATGAATTTGATACTACTTACTGCTTCACATTTAGTGTTATAATCCCGTCCTCTGGGAACGTACCAAATGCAAAGTTCGGTCTGAGGACCATTAGTACAGTAGGTTCACTCAGGGACGTGAACTTAAATGAACCCCAATCCATTATATCTTGATTCTCAGGTGTAGTATTAGTAGGGCTGCCACCAATCCCTTATAATACGGGACCGTCCCGTATAATGCGGAATGCAGCAGTTCATTTTCCATTATGGGGCGATCCGGCAGTATTAAAAGGGACTTGTGACAACCCGAAGTGGTGGATATACGCAGGTATACGGCTTATTCCCTCCTCTAAAAATGGATTTACTTTATATCCGCCTAAAAATTGTAAGAAATGCGCATCGCTGCCCCTACACCACTGGCAGTCTTATCCTTATCGAAAGGAGAGATGGTGTTATGTTGTTAGTAACTATGCAGAAGCTTTGCCTTCAAACAGTTGGTGCTTTGCAAAAAAAAATAAAAAATCAAATAGCGGTATGTTGAAACCACATGAACCAAAGATAAAAGGGGAAATGCTCTCATGCTTAATTCACCAAATTTCCACATGCTCTCAATACCTGCTTATCTAATGAGGGTTAGGACAGGAGAAGGTGGAGGGCGATCGCCAATTGCTTGCTGAGGGCTGTTTTTAACACTGGAATATATTTGGAGATAGATTACAGAAAATGACACATACATTACGATTTTTGTAATATATATATATATATATATATATATATATATATATATTTATAAAGCGTGCAGTGTGGGTTGGGCGGGTCTTTTTGGGCGTTTAATTAAACGTCTTAACTCTCGTATGTCCTGTATTGTCGGAACAGTCCCACGGGAAAGGAGGCAGGAGAATAGGCCGCTTCAAAGGTTCCGAGGGCAGCACGTCCTCCGACACGACGTCCAACAGCTTCATCCGGCAGGTAAGGCGGCCGCTCCGGCACCTGAACGGGCACTGGGGGGCGGGTCCTGGCAGCTTGCTTATGGCAGCTCATTGGACATGGCACTTACAGGATTGGGCTCTGATTGGTAAATTAGG